GGGGGAGCTCTGCCAGACGCTGCTAGCAGAGAACTGGATTGAGAGGTGGGGTCCTCGCCCAGCCCTTCCCCCCCTCTCTGCTCCCCCGCCTTCCACCGCCCTTCGACAGCCCTTTCACCAGCCCCGACGCACCAGCACAGTCAGGTCCGTCCGATTCATGACCCCCCATGTGGGTGAGAGCACAGGGGTAAGGTTTGCAACGGCTGCTATCTTGGGAGTAGATCACCAGGTCTTTCTTCTGAGGTGCACCTCCAACCTTTGGGTCAGCAGCTGAGTCCACTGACTGCTTCGCCACCCAGGACCCCAGCAGAACTTTCTGCCATGGCGGGACTGTCCTTCCCAGTGAGACCACTTACGCTGGGCACTAGAATGTGGCCAGTGCGACCAGGAATGGAATTTGTAACCCTATTTACTTTTTAATTCTCATTTTAAAAGCTACACGTGGCTGCTGTACTGAAGAGCCTCGGCTCCTCCTGTGCCCAATGGAGGTGACGACGCCCCACGTCTGTCTTGGAGACGCCTGTGCTCGGGACGTGGCACATGCCCAGCTGGGAGTCAGGACCCCAGGTTCTAGACCTCACTGCCATCTGGCCCAAGGCCCTAGGGACCCGTGCAATAAGGAGTTATTTTGAATCAAGGTGTCTTTGCCAAGGGCCAAGGTCAGGTTTAGAGGGGTTTGGGGACTATGTACACATTAGGTGAGAAGAGTGTGTGTTTGTACACCTATGTGTGAGAAAGTGTGTGTGCTTTGGGTGGGGTGGAGGCCCAAAACATTCTCAAAAGGGTCCATCATTGCTGCAGTGTGAACCCCCAGTGTAGGTGACACCTCCACCCAGGGAGCTTTGTACTAATGGGATCCCTAGGCTCTCGGGATTCTGGGTCAGCACCTCACTCTCCAGGTGATTCCTTCAGATCCAGAAACAGAAAGGGGCTACAGAAGAGTCCCCAGGGAGCGGGGGGGAGTCCTGCCAAAATTCAGCTTCAGATTCAGTTGGTCTCCAATGGGCGGCACATTCTCAGCAAGGGTGCAGACAAGAATAACCCCACTGGAAGCCCTGCAGCCCCAGGAGAGGCTGCAGGGGGCCGGTCAGCATGGGGCTCGGGGATGACTTGTGCTCAAAGCTACTGCTCCCCACAGTGCGTGTGTGTGTGTGTGTGTGTGTGTGACTAAGCACTGGCACAATCACAGAGGAAAGAGAAAGCAGTTTGCGTGATAAGACCCCTGTCTTTTGCTGTGACTCTGGGCAAGTGCCCTTCTTGGTCAGCACTGTGGGCAGCTTTTCTGTGGGCCAGGCCTCATCCTGGGCTCTTTGTAAATGTGAACCTAATTTATCCTCCTGTGAAGTGGGGTCTCACTCTCGCTCTCACACTCACTCACTCTCACACTCACTCTCTCTCGCTCTCTCACTCATTCTCACACTCACACTCACTCTCACTCTCTCTCGCTCTCTCATACTTTCACTCACTCTCACACTCACTCTCTCACACTCTCTCACTTACTCACACTCTCTCATACTCTCACTCACTCACTCTCACTCTCGCTCTCACACTCTCACTCAATCTCACACTCACTCTCACACTCTCACTCACTCTCACACTCACTCTCACTCACTATTGCTCTCTCACTCACTCACTCACTCTCACTTTCACTCACTCTCACATTCTCTCACTCACTATTGCTCTCTCACTCTCACTTTCACGCACTCTCTCACACTCACTCAATCTCTCACACTCTCACTCACTCACTCTCACACTCTCACTCACTCTCACACTCACTCACTATTGCTCTCTCACTCTCACTCACTCACTCTCACTTTCACTCACTCTCTCAGTCACTCTCACTCACTCTTGCTCTCACACTCTCACTCTCTCACAGTCATGGAGTTGATTCCGGCTCACAGCACCCCCAGAGCACCTACAGAGCAGGGGCCCAGGGGCTCTGGTGGTCTAGGGGGTTACTCATTGGGCTGCTAACCACAAGGTCAGCAGTCTGAAACCACCAGCTGCTCCTCAGGAGCAAGAGGAGGCTTTCTGCTCCCACAGGGGCAGTTCTAGTCCTGTAGGCTCGCTGCGAGGTGGGCGGGGGACTACTCAGCCCATTTTACAGATGGGGAAAGTGAGGCTCAGAGCTCAGCAATGGTGGAGTCAGGGCTCCAATCCAGAGGCCCCGAGCCTGGGCTCCCCTTGCTCTTCCCTCACAGGATGGGGTGGGGGGGCAGGGACCCTGAGCCCAAGTCCTGAACTCCGGCCAGGCACCGCTCAGACCGGTGGCCTCCCACCAGTGGCAGGCCCCGCACTCACTTGCTCTCCGAGCCATAGCTGTTCATGCTGTCCTCGATGGACTCGTGGCTGGCCTGGCGCAACGTCCGGCTGGGCATCTCCACCGCCAGGCCCGTCTCTGTGCTCCTCTGGATGGCCCCCTTCAGCCGCCGGCCGTCTGCTTCTGGGCCAAGGGGCAGGAGGGAGTGGGAGAGACAGGAGGTGGATGAGGGCAGAGAGGCCAGATTCTGGTTAGCATCTCAGTGGCCAGTGGATGCCCAGCTCCAGCTCCCATGATCAGCCCTTCAACCCCCCCCACACCTACCCGCCCTGCCTCCCCCCACCCCACCCCAGGGTAGCCTTCGCAGGCCTCTGCCCTGCCCTGTACCCATCCACTGGTCATGACCTGAGCTTTGTGAACACCTGAATCCATCTACACAAGTGCTTATGTTCTTCCCTTGGGTTCATTTCTCCCCCTCCTCTGCAACTCTCACTTCGTGAACACCCACTAGGTGTCAGGTGTCCCTGGTGGCACCAGCTAAAACTCAGCCCCTGCCTGAAAGGCTGGTGGTTTGAATCAACTCAGAGAGGCCTGGGCAGACAGGCTGGGCACCCTCCTGAAGGGCAATGACAAACCCAACAGAGCACCCTCCTTGGACCCTCGCGGGGTCACCAGCCCCAGAGGCAACTCTAGGACCACCGGTGAGTGACCATGTGTCACACACCCCACCATGTACTTTAGCAGGGTTAGACCAGGTATCCCTACTTGGGCACAATAACACTTGGGTGGTGGGACTGGGGGGTCATACACCTCCCTGGCCTCTTCTGTGGGGAGTGCGGTGGGAGGGGGGACGGGGGACGGGGAGACAGTAGTCATTCTCCGCCTCAGATTGTGGCAACCCAAGCTGTCTCCACACAGGGCCAGTGTTCCCTGGGGGGCTAAATATCACCCTAATTGAGAACCCCTGATTTTAACCACTAGCCCTAATACCAGGCTGCCCAAGGTCAAATCCAGGTTCCTTTTCTCACTGGCTGTGGGACTCTGGGAAAATGTCTCCACCTCTCTGTGCCACCACCATTTCCTCAATGAAAACAAGGATAATCACGGGGTTCTTCCGCGGCTGGAGGACCCTCTGCCCTGGGCAGCCCCTCCCAACAAGTTCTCCATGCACAGTACATGGGAAGACTGCTCTGCCACACTGTGAGGTTTAAGACACATAATGCAGAGCAGGCTGCAAAACATCATGCATCTTTGTGAACCTGCCGACAGCTGTGTGTGAGTGTGTGTATACACACAGAAATGTAGCTTGATATGCACGCATCTGCATAGAGGAAACAGGAATGCTGTAAACCAGAGTAATTAAGTGGTGAACCATTGTCAGGAGCAAGACTGAGTTGAGCCAGGGGTTGGAGTGGTGGTGGTCATTTTTTAAACATTTAATCTCAGGTCAACATATAGACAGAAAAGTATGCAAATCTTAAGTGTGTAGCTTGGTGGGTTTCCACAAACACAACGCATTCACCTAGCCAGCACCTAGATGAAGACACAGGCCCCCAAAGCCCCCTCTGTCCCCTCCCGATGTCTCTCCACAAGGATGACCACCCTCCTAAATTCCAACACAGACAGTGGTCTGGAATGGTTTTGAACTTCATATAAATGGAATTGTACCGCATGCACTTTATAGCCTTGGATCGGTTTGCTCCATATTGTGCTGATTATATGAGAGGCACCCACACTGTCGGGTGCAGCTGTAGACGGTTTCTCATCACTGCTCTGTGATAGCCCACTGTGTGAATATACTGTAGTTTATTTGTGAGCCTTTGCTTGTTATTCCAGTTTGGAAACGATTTTTTCAGTGCCTGGCCTCTGGAAATACCTGCACTCATGTCTCTTGGGCCTCTACCTAGGAACAGAAAGGCTGCTGCGTGGTAGAGTAGACATCTGTTCAGGCAAATGGTTTTCCAAAGTGGTTGCACCAGTTTCTACTGTAACCAGCACAGGGCATGGCAGAGAGGGTTCTTTTGTGTATGCTTCCGTGTTTTTTGCAGTTTTACAATTAAATGCATTTGTTCTATACCATAAGATACAAGTAAAGTAATAAACGAGTCCCAGAACTCCTGCTACACTCCTATTAAAATCCTTGGAATAGTTCTCCATCCCCTGCCAAATGAAGTGCAAACTTTGCACCCCTACCCTCAAGACTCTCCGTGATACGAGTCCCTTCCCATGTCCTGCTGGCCTCCCTCGTCGTCTCGACACTCTAACCTGGCTGGGTGGCTCATGGTTCCCAGGGCATCCTCATCCTGGTCCCCTCCCCTCTATGTGCCTGCCCTATCCACATGTCTAACCATTGTCCAGAGTTGAGCTTTGAGATCATTGTACCTAGAGATTATCATAAGGTGTATCTCAAGATTGCAGCCTTTCCCCGCAGCTCTTCATTCTGGATGCTGACCATATGAGCCAAGAAGCTGGGCTCCCTGTGGGAGAAGATGGCATGGGGAGCGGAGCCTTTCATATCTGCAACATGCAGTGACACAAATGCAAAGACGACCCGAAGCGCTCCCTGAAGACCAAAGACCACAGCCTCCAGGACGGATTACACCTCAACCGAACAAATCCTCCCAACTCAGCCAATAAGTACCAGCATGAGCAAGGGAGAAACTGCCGAGGTTGCCAAGGACTTATTTCGCTGAGCTCCACAATCAATGCCCATGGAAGCAGTGGTCAAGAAATCAAATGGAGCATTGCCTTAGGATAATCTGCTGCAAACGTCTTCTTTAATACATTCAAAAGACAAGATGGGAGTTTGAAGGGTCACATGCTTCTGACCTAAGTCATAGTATTTTCCTTTTTGTTTCTTCCCAAATAATATTTTTATTGACAGCTTTTAGTCATTCCAATATACCCCTTCCCTTCCCATACAGTTCTGTTGTTCCGTCCCATTGGGTAGGGATGTACAATCATCAATGCTATCAACTCTCCTCCCCCTTCCCGTACCCTCGGGGAATCTTTACTCCTGTTACTGTCTCTGAGGGGTCATTTCTCTTGACTACCATGTACCGAGGGATCCTGCATGTACAAATGAACACACACAAGTCTAACCTAAGTCACAGTATTTTTAATCACTTCCTACAAGTGCAAAATCTAGACAATAATAAGGAAAACTGAAGAAGAATCAATGCCTTGGCATTGTGTTAGCAATCCAGCCAGAACTCTCCTTAGAAGTGAGGGTGGTGAGACTCTGTCTCACCTACCTGGGACTAGTCCCTAGAGAACGTCTCCATACAGGTTAAGCCAAAAAGGTTGGCAAAAAGGAGGAATGCCCTCCAGGAGATGGATGGCAACCCACACAATCAGTGTGCAGTTGAAGCATGACCTGGCAGTGCTTCATTCTTTTGTACACGGGGTCACTATTAGCTGGAACAGACACCAGGACACTGGCGACAACATCACTTACCAGACACCCTAGCCCTCTGTGTGCTTAGCTGTGTCATGGGGAGAATACACCAAACTCTTTGGGTTGTTGTGAGGGTAACTGTAACCCGATAGAACAACATCGAATCCCAGGTAGGACATCACGGATGGGCTGTGGCATACAGTTAGCACTTGAGACATGTAGTGATGACAGGTGTCATTAACACCACGGGGCCAGACACTGTACCAAATGTCTTACCTATGCATCATTGTGACTCACTCTCGTGGTAAACCGAGAGAGGGTACTACACAGAGCAGGGAAAAGGGGGGTCAGGAGAGTTGAATAACTGTCTTATGGAGTCCTAAGGTGGTGCTAACCAAAGGTCAGCAGTTGAAACCCAGCAGCTGCTCCAAGGGAGGAGGATGAGGTTATCTTTGCCCACACAGATTTACAGCTTTGGAGGTCCTATATAGGAGTTGGAATTGACTTGATAGAAGTAGGGAATTTTGGGGGGGATGGTAAAAAGGGGGTGTATAATGAAGGGGTTGAGGGCACATGTGGCTAACGAGGTAGGGCAGGAGCTCAAACCCAGCTCTTTCTGACTTCAATACCCAAGTTCATAAGGAACTGCCACAGTCTATCACGGAACCCAAACACAGTCTCTCCAAAAGAACCCCAAATCTGCTCCCATCGAATCCATTCTGACTCAGGGTGGCCCCACAAATTACGAGGCTGAGCTCCACAGGGTTTACTTGGCTGGAGTCTTCAAAGAAACAGATCAGCAGGCTTTTCTTAGGTGGCTCTGCTGGGTGGGTTCAAACCACAGGCCTTGAAGAGCTGAGACCAAGCCGTTGCCACCACCTAGGGAACTGGCCTTCCCTCATCAGGATCCTCAGGAGGAGGTGTGCTTTCAGGTCACAGGCACCTTACCTCCACCCCCACCAAGGTATCTATGTGGACCACCGCCTCTTGAAACATATTCTCAGTGGAAACATGGACTTACTTCAGCACCTAGGACAGCTCCACACCTTTCTGCTGAACTTGTGCTTCATTGAATCGGTTTTATGATGTGTCCCCAAGAAAAATGCAAATTCTCCGGCAAAGAAAACAGCCAAGCCTTACTCCCCTGTTTATACATGATTATGAATAATGTGTCTAATGGACCTTCTCCCCAAAGCCAGCGTTCACGAGGAATAAGATAATAATAAAATGATGATAATGATGAAATATGATCAGTACCATCGTTATTAGCATCTACATTCTTCATTCATTCTAATTCAACCTCACCATACAACCCTAAGGGACAAATATTTTATCTTAGTTTTAGCCTAAAAGGAAACAGGTTGAAAGTTGTGTGGAGTCCTGCCCAAGGTTTACACCTGCAAGACAATTAGGTTTTGAGCCCCAGTCTATGGGACCAGGTTTCCTACTAGAAACCGCTCATGGTCCCAGGAACATGGTGGTGGGAGGGAGAGGAGGGGGGGTAACTCAGCCTTCTCCAACTCAGACATCTCATTGAAGGTACAAATTATCCGCTTTGATTTCCGGATGAGGATGAGCAGCCCAAGGCTGAGGGGCTAACTGGCTTGATCCAGAACCTTGGGCTCTAGAGTCACTAAGCCTCTCCCTGGCCCATCCCTGGGAGTGGTCCACAGGGATCCACTTTTCAGCCTGTGGTGTTCCCTCTGAAACAAGAGCTCTGAGTGCATGGATTATATTAAAGACACAGCTCCCCGCTTCCTACGCCCATTCGCCTTCTTGTGCCTCT